GTCCCCATCCCTGGAGGTATTTAAAAGACGGGCAGATGTAGTGCTTAGGGACAAGGCTTAGTGATAGACTTGGCAGTGTTAGGCTAACGGCTGGACTCGATGATCTTAAGGGTCTTTACCAGCATAAATGATTCTATGATTCTAAATCCCAAATTAACCACTCTGGTATTTTGCAGAGGACCAACACGAAGCTAAGTGAGACCACTTAGCCCGGTACTTTGCAAAATTAATTGCTGCAGTAAAATTCTCCCTTCTACCTTTACAAAATACCAAAACACTTTGGCAGTGCCCTAATCCATCCTGAACTGTAAGAGTTATTAAAAATCATTAGTGGTTCAATCAGCTTCTCAGCAAAGTCTCTAAAGACGCCTGCGTCTAAGACAGCCAGGTTGCTTGATTTGAAAACTTAATTTCTGAGTTCACGTTTTGCCTTACTGCCAACAGTGACCGCTTTTGGTCCCCCACAGCAGAATGTGGACCAAACCTTCCTGCTCCCTTCCAAATACAGATGAGAAATATCCATCCGATCAGTCTGTGTTACACTTGCTACCTCAACAGCCATGGTTTTACAACTGATTGCAATAAAATGACAGATTTGATCCCAAAAGGTTTAAAGTGCCTTTCTTTTTACTCCTGTTAGCCCTGAGTACTTCACTGGTTCCCTCAGCCTCCTGTAGCAGCAGCCAGTTCTTAACCTATTTGTTACTGCTAACCTCCCATTTTCCCTGTTTCCATAAATACTGATTTATTTAGGTTTTGTCATAGGTTTTACATCTTCCTTTGGCTGAAATATTTTTCCTTGACCATTTCCCAGCACATCTAAGAATTTTTGAAATTGTGTCTTTTTTGGCATCCAATTGAGATGTACTGAACTATTATTTTTTTTCGGTGACTATGCCGCTATAAATATAGGTTTCCAGTCCACTATTGCTTTAGGCTTTAGAAAAAATGTCATATAAAAGTTTGAAGTTACATTTTACTGATGGGTGTCGTGTTCTACTTAAGCAAAGCCAGTTTATTATGGTACCTAAGCAGCACCTAATATTTAGGTCACCTGTTTACTCTCCTCGGTCCACCACAAGGTCTCCCAGTGGATTCCCTTCTGCAGGCTGCAGAGCAAAGCACCCCCTCGTGTTAGAAACCCTGGGAAGTTTTCAGGTGAGATGCTCAGCCAACAGCCCTTGGTTGAAACCACCCATGCAATTCCTCTTGTAGTGTATTCCAGATACTTAATGAACTGACTTTTGTTATGTTTTACAAAACTGAGATGTTCAAAAAGCAGTTCGACCCTCTCTATGGGAAGATACAGGAATGTATCAAATGCACAAGTCCCTCGCGTTTCATTTTAGTGGTTAGGGCTCTAATCCTGAGCTGCATCGTACCCTTTATTTCTGGTTTTCAGGAGAAAAATGTCACTAGCAGCTGCCTGAGCACTTCAGGCTCCTCCTCATCCTGCTCTGCCTCCTGCTAGAGCGGAGGGACAAGGAAGACCCGTCCTTAGCGCAGGACGCACTCGGCTGCAGCCACTGGAGATAGTGATGCTCGGACCCCTTAGAGCAAAATATGCTTCAGCAGCCAAGAGAGGGCGCTCCTTAAATTAATAAAAGAAAGGGAAAAAAAAGGAGAAAACCAGAAGAAGCCAGCAAAAAGAGAAAAACTGAGCGTGCTTTCTTAAAAAGGAATTTTTTCATCTGCACCAAAGTGAAAGGTTAAATGCAACAAGTTAAAATACGGAGGTGTTTTTCACCCATGGGATGGGGCTAGGGACACCCCTGGGGCAAGGAGCAGAGCTGTTGGCTGAACGCTTGGGAGATGTGGGTCCATTGCGGGCCCAGCTGCTGCCCGATCGCTGCTACTCCTCCCACTCCGGCCGGTGTTTCACTCGGGTGCTCGCCTGGCACAACCCCTCTGTCCTGGTTTTGCTCAGTGCCTCGAGATGCTGCTGCGTTGGACATCAATAACAAACTCTCACCCTGGTCACCCGTGGCAGCCTTTGTGGTCCGGCGATGGCTTTTCCCTGTGAAACCAATCGCTCGGCCAGCCCCCAGGGCAGGGAACTGCTCTGTGAGGGTCTGGCCCTGAACAATGCTTGAAACAAGCCCATCTTTCTGTAACAGCCACGGAACACTTTTTAGAAAGCCTTTAAGTTCTGCCAGTAACTGCCATGGGTGCCAAGTTTTATTTTTGTCAGCCAATTTGGGACATTTGTTAAACCTGTGACCGAGATTGGGGAAGTGAGCCCAAAAAGCAATCAAAAGCACGTAATAAATAATAATTAATATCAGTGTGTGGTGCTTACTCGGTATTTTTTTTCTTTCAAGGATCTTTTGGCTAGTTAGCAAAAACACGTTCCACATTACGGTGGTCTCTCCTACAGCGGGTATTTATCATCCTCTGGTTACACATGGCAAACTGAGGAGAACGGC